TATATAAATTTATAATATAGTAATAAAATTCAGTTAAAACTTAAACTCGAACTTTCATCTCTAAATCATCAGATCGATAGCAATTTAAATATGCAAAATTGTTAGTTATCGATAACATTTCAATGCCTATTTTTCATCTCCATAAGTTCAACGATTCGCCTTTCGTTTTGGCCTTTAGCTCTAGGCCAGATCGGCGCCCACAAGCAACAGGAAACCGCAATAAATAGGCGTCTGCACCACTCTCTCTCTCTCTCTCTCTCTTTCGCTCTTTCTCTCTCTAGTGTTTGCCCCTTCGCTTGAGTCGTTGAGTGGGTGTTGCGGTTGTTTCGGTTTTAGTTTTGATTTTCGCAGTGACTTTGGCAAATAGCGCCCACTCGAGCAGCCCGCAGCGAATTGTTGCATGTGTCGCTTGCATGGGGGCTGCTCATGCCTCTGCCTCTGCCTCTGCCTCTGCTGCTGCTGCTATGTGGGCTAAACGCGTGGCGGTAACTGGCGATTGTTGACTCGATATCGTTATACCGTGCAAATAGCAATTATTTACTATATTAAAAGTTTTCTAGTATTAATGTATGATGCTATCATTATCATTATTATATATTATCATTCCCAATGTTATTAGTGTTATTATTAATTAGTACTTCACAGCACTAAATATAAAGTTGGGACAACAAATTCGATTGTCATTATCATTATCATTAATATGTTATTATTATTATCATTGGCATTGTCAATGTCATTGTCATTCTCATTGTCATTGTCATTGTTATTGTCATTGCTATTGTCATTGTTATTGTTATTGTTATTTTTATTGTCATTGTCATTGTCATTCTTATTGTCATTTCATTGTCATTGTCATTGTTATTGTTATTGCTATTTTTATTGTCATTGTCATTGTCATTGTTATTGTTATGGTTATTGTTATTGTTACTTTTATTGTCATTGTCATTGTGATTGTCGTTGCCATTGTCATTGATTATCATTATCATTATTAATTTTTCATTATTACAACATTATAATCACTATGATTTTAATGATTATCATTAGCCTTACTTTTATTATTTGCTTTTAGTCTTATGGTAAGCCAAATTCCAATTACTTTTGGTTACTTTAAACTTTTCTTTCCCTTTATCAAAAACTATTACGATATACCTATAAAGAGAATATATTACTATGCTCTACTATACTGAAATATCGTATATAGACCATAAATGTGCAACCCTCTCGTATGTCAATGTCGTTTGGACCCTTTCGAATACCCTACTCTATGCATCATCTGTGCTGCTTAGCCTGCATAACTTTTTGCTTTGAGTATAACGGAAATGTAACTCTCACTCCCTCAAGCCAGGCCGCGCCACGCCCCGCTCCAAATATGACATGTAATGGGTCGTCGGTTAGGAAGCCAGCACACGTGACTCTAACAAGCGGCAATGCGCTCACCCATAACTCCTTTCTTCATTATAAACCCCCCCCCCTCTCCTCTCTCTCGCTCCCTCTCTTGTGCCATGCCCTAGCCCTAATAAAATGCTGGCGTTACGCTTCGCCAGGCAGTTGGCATTGGAATTTCAATTTCATTTGGATAGACGTCGCCAACGCCTCATAAGATCGGCGCGCTATATGCATAGCTGATGGAATGTGTGTTGCTTTTACCTTAAATGCTTCAGTTTTGCTGTTGCCTGTTGTCTGTCTGTCTGTTGTCTCTGCGGCAACATCTTCTGCTTGTATAGATTACAAAATGCGCGAACGGAAGTTGAGAAATGCATTCACTGCAGAGGTTGGGCCAGCGGGGTGCTGCCTTGGCTGGGCTATGCCGAGGGCTTGGCTTGGCTTGGCTTGGGTTGGCTTGACTCAACTTGGCATGGAATGCCCATTGGCAGTGTCTGTCAAACTGTGTGCACAGCATTTGCTGTCGTCTTCTTCTGCTGCTGGTTAAATTGAAATTGCAGACGGCAAATTATTTCCGGCCATGAAATTCGAGTGTGCACCCTTTACACGCGCCCCTTGCCCCTCGGCGCCCGCCTCCTGCCATTTGGGTCGCTCTTCGACATCAGCAGCTGCGCCAGGGGAGATGCTCTTTAATCTAATTAAGTGGGCTGCGACGAGTGTTCATTATGTCAATGACGATGATGATGATGATGATGATGATGACGAAGATGATCATAATGCAGCTCATGTCCCAGGCGAGCCAGGGATAATGACCAAAGGGATCAGCCCGTTTCAAAATGAACTAACTGTTTGGTATAGATAAGAGCTCTTTAAATACTCTCTCTATATATGAAATAAATATTGGAGAGAAGTCAGCCACTCTCTCTCTATATATACATATATTATATTTGTATGTATTTATATTATATATAGAGAGCTACCTAACTTCTGCTCGCTTCTATCTCTGCAGRCATGTGGCTTTGAAGATACTTTGTGGAAAAGCCATATGATATGTAAATGTGATATCGATGTCTATGTATGTGTAGATATATATATATTGTCGAGTATCGCATATCGATTCTGCAGATAGCTTTCCTTTGTATGAGAAATGATTTTAAGTGAGTGACTAGATTATGGAGAAACAGCTAATTGTCTGTTCAGATTGTCTAGGAATACTAGCAAGGTGTGTTCAACAAGTTTTGCGCATTGCGTTACGCACATTCAATTTTTATTACTCATATTATTATTTTACTACAAAGCTTCACTCATTCATTCACAGTAATCACAGC